ATGGCACAGTTATTTAGGTCGAAAAGACATAGCTTTGAACTTCCGAACCACCGAGCATGTGACGTGTAGCGCCTTCTGACAACGCGTTTCTAACAATGACCATCTACGCGACCTTCTATGCAGTGAAGAGGACAGGACAACGTCTCAAACTCAGCTGAGTTGAGTTTGAGACGCTGTCCTGAGCCGAGTTCTCAGCTGAGTTGGGTTTGAGACGTTGTCGTGAGCTGAGTTTGAGACCTTGTCCGGTCCCCTTTTTTCTGTCTTACACTTTTTCTTTCAAATTTCATTCCCAGTATCAGGATTTTGCATCATGTACAAACTAAACTTATCATCACTCGGGCGGCGTTCGAGCGGATTACTACCAGCGTGCGAGGGGGGGGGGGGGGGGTAGTTTGCCAGATCGCTTCAAGGTTTTTCTGAGCCTCAACCACCTGCCTGCCCCTGGCCGTTTCGAACTGGATGAGTATTGTTAAACAGTGCGTTCGTGTGATCACTACTGCGTGATGCACGTTAACCCCCCCCCCCCCCCCCCCCCCCCCCCCCCCCCCACCAAACATACGCCGGGGCAAGAGAAACGTCGGCGGAGCGACCGTAAAGGTGGCTTTCTTGCACGCCACCGGATGCTTTGCTCCTCACGTGATGGATCTCGGCGAATAGCGGCGTGGCGGCGCGGGGAAAACAAATGCGCAACTCTGGCTCCCGTAGGGAACTCTAGCGCTGAAGGACACGCAGCGCTATGGGGGGAGCAGTCGTGGAAACTGACGAGCGCAGCGGCCAACGTTACTAAAACACTCAGTTGGGAAACTCCCATAGAGACAGCTTTGAAAAAGTGGCCCCAATCTGTCTCCGAGCACCGAGCTAATGACGAACACAACGCCACCATTTGTCCCGCAGCGGCCACTCGAGGAACTGCACGTGACTTCTATTTTGGCTTTAAGAACAGATACAGCGGTAGAGGTTACAGGGGTGCCACCCCCGTCTCCCCGGCGGACGCGCCGCGTTGAGCTACCGAAGTTAAAATGCACGTAGGGCGGGACGTGCTACCTGAAAGGCCCGCTAAGGCATGGTTGTATAAAAACATTAATTGTGCCGCAAAATCCTGCAAACTAAAAGTTTTAAAAACATAACGCGCCCCTCTTTTGGTACTAAACTCCAATAAATTTCATACAAAAAAAGTCTTTTTCGTTTGTTTTTACGCAAAAACAGGCTTTCAAAAAGCTCAAGGTGACCACAGTACAGACAAATGATAAAGAGTGGCGCTGTTGTCGCATTTAGCTCGGTCTCGGTGGACGCCAGCGGCCCAGGTTTCGACGGCGAGTTTCCCAACTGAGTGTTTTAGTAACGTTGGCAGCGGCCAATGGGAGCCCCGTCGACGCGCGCCAGCCAATGGAACCGAAGGATCGGGGAAACTAGTATGTGCCGTTTTCGCGCTTCAAACTGATGACGTCAGCTCGCTCCATGAGACAGTTAATGCTTTCGCTTTAAAAAGTTTAGATTTCTACGTGAAAGCGCCAAATTTTACAGCCCAGCTATTATCGAGCATTAGCTTATCGTTGTTTTAGGAAGATGTACGCGCTTCAAACGCCAAACGCATAGGTTCTTCCTGTGCTAACCAAATCTTGCAAGAACTATTTCGTGCAGCGCAAGCATAATGCACAAAGCTTCTTTTGTTGTTGTTGTGTTTTTATGTAACAACGAGTAGAATCGTAGTTTAGTCTACCAGACTAAGGCGACATTGTTCACTGTACACGAGCAATTTAGTCAGTGTAGTATATCAGTTAGCCTTGGATCTTTAACGTGCATCGCGCAGTATTACTACACGACCACTCGCCGAAACGGGCAGGGGTGGGGACTGAAATTGTACCCAGGATTCTTGGGTTTTGCAGCGTGAGCTTTCGCTACACGTGCCGGTGCGTTAACACATTTCGCCACTCATCCACCCAGAAACATAAACTTTGATACTGAATTATATACAGCCCTCGAAGCCGCTTCAGCAAGGAAAAGCAGAGGTGTGGATCGCTGACCAGAGGATCAACGAACTACCCCAATCCTGCATTCCGAAGACAAGGCGAAGCACAAGTCACACAAAAGGCAACACGATATCTCGTGAACGAAGGATCGCGTTGTCCAACGACATCACCTTCTTCCCGCCACCGGATGTGGGCGCGTAGTAACACAATAAAAGAAAAATAAAGGAAGATATATATAAGCAAAGAGGACGAAGTTGAATTACGTACGGCGGTTACACTAGTTAAACGCAATACTACACCTGGTATGCTTGATTTTTTTTCTTTGTTTTGGAAAGCCTGGAGAAAGAAGAGTGGCCAACAAATTCTGACGAAGAACACGATAGGAAATGCTTAAAAATACATTCGGTAACCACCCATACTCGGCAACAGCAACTACATGATAAACTCCTTCAGAAATTAGGCCCTCTTGCAATCAATCTAAAAATACTGCAAAAAACAAAAAACAAAAAAAACGCGCGCGCGAAAAAAAAAAAGAAGCAAACTAGCAAGTCTATTACTAATATAATACTATTTTCCAAGAGACCATGCAATTGATAGACTTCCCATTTTTATGGTGTCTTGCTTACGCCACCTTGCCGTATTTTCCTATCTGAATAACGGTTAAGAGTTGAGCTTGTTGGTACATACTTGTAAATATATCCGCTTGAACTTTAGAAATAACTAGAACACAAAGAAAGAAAGGACAGGATATGACACACAGCTGAACACAAAGAAAGAAAGAACAGAATATGACACACAGCTGTGTGATACACAACAGAAACCATGTGGACCAATTATTACCTTCCATATTTGAAACAGCACCTGGCAAGGAAAGCCAAAGAACACCCAGAACGGCGAGCCCTCCAGGCCATTAGAGACGTCACAATCTCAGATAAGGCAAGAAAAGTACTTGAACAAGAACCAAACAGCTATGTGTCATATCCTGGCCTTTCTTTCTTTGTGTTCTAGTTATTTCTAAAGTTCAAGCTGATATATTTACAGTTACATTTTCCGATCGACCGTGAAGGGCGTAATATTTAAACGGGTTTATATAGCAGATATTTTACTGGTTTTAGTTTTCCAGGCATCAATAAACATCATCCTCGTCTACATATTTTACAGACGCGTATCTCCGGTCGTGTCGTTTGAAGGCGCCTTGTTACGTATATCACTATTCCAGACATATCAACAGCAGTGGCGTACCAACTTGTTTTTCAGTAGGGAGGCAAACCAGACCCCCCCCCCCCCCCCCCCCCCCCCCCCCCAAGGTCCGGCGGCGGTGCCCTTGGCATCCCTTGGGCACCGCTGGCCAGTGTTTGCCCTGCATAACAGTGGCTGTTTCAGGGGGGAGCGGGGAAAACCACACATACCTCGGCGAACCTCACTCATGAGGGCCCTCACTCACCCTCACTCACCCTCATCCTCACAGGTGAGGTGAGGGTGAGTGAGTTTCTGAACCAGGAAAATTCATGAGTGTGAGGGTGAGTGAGGGCCGTGAGGGCTGTGAGGGCGGTGAGGGCCGTGAGGGCTGTGAGGGCGGTAAGAGCGGTGAGGGCCGTGAGGGCGGTGAGGGCCGTGAGGGCCATGAGGACGGTGAGGGTTGTGAGGGCCGTGAGGGCGGTGAATGCCGTGAGGGCCATGAGGGCGGTGAGGGGTATGAGTGCGTGAGGGGCGTGAGGGCGGTGAGTGGCGTGAGGGCCATGAGCGCGTGAGTGGTGTGAGGGTGGTGAGTGCGTGAGGGGTGTGAGGGCCATGAGTGCGTGAGAGCAGTGAGTGGCATGAGAGGCGTGAGGGCCGTGAAGGCGGCGAGTGCATGAGGTGGTGTGGGGGCCATGAGTGCATGAGGGCGGTGAGTGCGTGAGGCCCCCTTCAGATCGAGCATCTTTCTCAGCAATTTTGGTGTTAATGACGGGTTGTTCTCTAGCTTTCCCTAGATCGACACGAATTGCTGAGATCGGGTTCGGCTCGAAATAAGCAAACAACTCGGAGCAATTCGAATACGTTTAAAGCGGCTGCATCCAAACAGGGACGCAAAATTTTCACTTGATACCTCGTGCCGGTGATGATGACACCGAAAGACTTGGTTCTGGTTTGATATCGATCGTTTTTTGGAAATAAACTGTTTCAGAAAGGTGCATTAGTATTGTTAATGGGCGGTGAGTTGCGTGAGAGCGGTGACGCCGGTGAGTGGCGTGAGGGCGGTGAGTGGCGGAGGGCCGTGAGGGCGGTGAGGGCCGTGAGGGCCGTGAGAGCGGTGAGGGCCGTGAGGGCGGTGAGGGCCGTGAGGGCGGTGAGGGCCGTGAGGGCGGTGAGTGGCGTGAGGGGCGTTGAGGGCCGTGAGGGCGGTGAGGGCCGTGAGGGCGGTGAGTGGCGTGAGGGCTATGAGTGCGTGAGGGCCGTGAGGGCGGTGAGTGGCGTGAGGGCGGTGAGTTTCGTGAGGGCCATGAGTGAGTGAGGGCCGTGAGGGCGGTGAGTGCGTGAGGGCCGTGAGGTTCAGTGAGGGTGAGTGAAGGGCTGAAGGTGACTGTGACTGTGAGGGTGAGTGAGGGGCTCAAGGTGAGTGTAGCTGTGAGGGTGAGGGTGAGTGAGGGGCTTAGGTAAGTGTGGCTGTGAGGGTGAGGGTGAGTGAGGGCGACCTAAAATGCCGACCTTTGAAACCACATGACTTGCCCCTCCTCCCCTCTAAAATTGGGGGGGGGGGGGGGCAAGCGCCTCCCTTGCCCTCCCGGTTAGTACGCCCAGGGTCAACAGTTACTGCTACTTATTTATTCGTCTACAGCACCATGAGACATTGCAGCAGAAAGCGAGAAAACTGGGAGCGGAACGCAGAAATTATTGCACAGAAATGATTAAATTTACATTTTGGTCTCCAACTGGGGATTTTATTGTCTTTAACGTGACATTCAGTCTTAGCTATCATGTGATAAACCTGAAGAACCACAATCAAGTCCTGATATGCGTGTACTTTTATTTATATTGCTTTTAGATTGCTCAATAAGGCGATTTGTGAAGCACCGAGACGGAATTAATACACTGGGTTAATCGCCATCTCAACACGACCCAGGAGCTAATTATCTCAGCCACGACCAAGCAGTGAGTCTGCTCTTCCACCGCGAAGCAGCGAGTCTGCTCTTCCAGTAGCATCAGTTGTGTCTTGCCTGCCACGGCCAAGCAGCGAGTCCTCTCTTCCAGTAGCATCAGTTGTGTCTTGCCTGCCACGGCCAAGCAGCGAGTCTTCTCTTCCACGGCCAAGCAGCGAGTCTTCTCTTCCACGGCCAAGCAGCGAGTCTTCTCTTCCACGGCCAAGCAGCGAGTCTGCTCTTCCAGGAGCTTCAGTTGTGTCTCGCCTGCCACGGCCAAGCAGCGAGTCTTCTCTTCCACGGCCAAGCAGCGAGTCTTCTCTTCCACGGCCAAGCAGCGAGTCTGCTCTTCCAGGAGCTTCAGTTGTGTCTCGCCTGCCACGGCCAAGCAGCGAGTCTTCTCTTCCACGGCCAAGCAGCGAGTCTTCTCTTCCACGGCCAAGCAGCGAGTCTTCTCTTCCACGGCCAAGCAGCGAGTCTTCTCTTCCACGGCCAAGCAGCGAGTCTTCTCTTCCACGGCCAAGCAGCGAGTCTTCTCTTCCACGGCCAAGCAGCGAGTCTTCTCTTCCACGGCCAAGCAGCGAGTCTCCTCTTCCACGGCCAAGCAGCGAGTCTTCTCTTCCACGGCCAAGCAGCGAGTCTTCTCTTCCACGGCCAAGCAGCGAGTCTGCTCTTCCAGTACCTTCAGTTGTGTCTTCCCTGCCACGGCCAAGCAGCGAGTCTGCTCTTCCAGGAGCTTCAGTTGTGTCTCGCCTGCCACGGCCAAGCAGCGAGTCTTCTCTTCCACGGCCAAGCAGCGAGTCTTCTCTTCCACGGCCAAGCAGCGAGTCTTCTCTTCCACGGCCAAGCAGCGAGTCTTCTCTTCCACGGCCAAGCAGCGAGTCTTCTCTTCCACGGCCAAGCAGCGAGTCTTCTCTTCCACGGCCAAGCAGCGAGTCTGCTCTTCCAGGAGCTTTAGTTGTGTCTCGCCTGCCACGGCCAAGCAGCGAGTCTTCTCTTCCACGGCCAAGCAGCGAGTCTGCTCTTCCAGTACCTTCAGTTGTGTCTTCCCTGCCACGGCCAAGCAGCGAGTCTGCTCTTCCAGGAGCTTCAGTTGTGTCTCGCCTGCCACGGCCAAGCAGCGAGTCTTCTCTTCCACGGCCAAGCAGCGAGTCTTCTCTTCCACGGCCAAGCAGCGAGTCTTCTCTTCCACGGCCAAGCAGCGAGTCTGCTCTTCCAGGAGCTTCAGTTGTGTCTCGCCTGCCACGGCCAAGCAGCGAGTCTTCTCTTCCACGGCCAAGCAGCGAGTCTTCTCTTCCACGGCCAAGCAGCGAGTCTGCTCTTCCAGGAGCTTCACTTGTGTCTTGCCTGCCACGGCCAAGCAGCGTGTCTGCTCTTCCACGGCCAAGCAGCGTGTCTGCTCTTCCACGGCCAAGCAGCGAGTCTTCTCTTCCACGGCCAAGCAGCGAGTCTGCTCTTCCACGGCCAAGCAGCGAGTCTTCTCTTCCACGGCCAAGCAGCGAGTCTTCTCTTCCACGGCCAAGCAGCGAGTCTGCTCTTCCAGTACCTTCAGTTGTGTCTTCCCTGCCACGGCCAAGCAGCGAGTCTGCTCTTCCAGGATTTTCAGTTGTGTCTCGCCTGCCACGGCCAAGCAGCGAGTCTGCTCTTCCTGGAGCGCGAGATGTATCTTCTCGCCCACGGCCGAGAAGTGTCCAGGCTCCACTTTCCGTCGCTGTCGCGATAAAGAGCATAACAAGGAAGGATAAACAAATTTTATCAGCGAGTGCCTCCATATGCGTGCGGATACAAGCAACTTCGTTTTCGTGGGTCAGCACGGCAAGACAATATCACTATTATGAGGACGAACCGTCGAGAACCTAGAAGAGCTTTTCATCAATTATACTCACGCGCAGTGCCTATGATTGCTGTTTGTTTACTACGTGACAAATTTTCACAACCCGGCAGTGATATATCGACACAAAAAAAGTTAACTCAGCAAGCTTGGATGTACACATTGCGACACTATTAGCGCGAACACGACATCGCCGCATTTTCACATTTTACTTCTAAATAGTATTAGCGAGCACGAAATTTTATCGCTTATAATATAGAACTAAATGAGCTCTTTCCGTAACAATAATAACTTCGATAACATCCTTTGGTTTCAAAGAGAAAAATTGAAAAAAACCGGCGATCGCTTGTTCGGGCTAACAGTGTCGCGATCTTACCGAATGCTTTAGATGTATTAGGTTTTTTTGCGGGGTGTGAGTCACGAAACAAGACGTTAGAAAGGCCCAACCCGATTCCTCATATTTTCAAGGGCAAATGCCTCCCGGTGGAGACATCCTTCTTCGAAGATGGAAATGGAGAATACCAAGGGTTTCTAAACTATAAGCAGCTTTTTTGTTTAAAGGAGCGGTGCAACGATATTCAATTGGAATGTTTTTCGCTTGACACGAGCTTACTGGCACTAGTGGGAGTCAAGGATACTCGCACGCAACTCCGCTGGCCAAGAAACTCCTTTGTTGCGGTGTAATTTCAAGGACAAAAGCGATCATTTTCACTCAACCTCTCCTTTGCAAAATTTGATGACGTAACGTGGGGATCGCAGTGCACCCAAGTGACGATATTTGAATGTGGCTCATAGATTGGACCCGAGCATGGCGTGGACACTCGATTTGGGCTCGTGATAATCGATAGCTCGAGAAGCATTCGGGTAGTGGCCCGTGTCCAATCGCTGCAACGACGACAACAGCCGAGCCATAACAATGTCTGGAACTCAGCGCGTGTCCTGCGCTTTGCCAACCCGAGCGCGTGGCTGTGATCAACGCTGGCGGCATATAATCGGCTCCAGATCACGTGGCCGCTTGTTCTGGTTGCGAGTTGAGGGGGTGAACGCTGCTCGTTTTTCTTTGATTTTTTTTCTGGGACTTTTATTGCGTGGGGTGAAAAACGAACGCGTGTTTCGTAGGTCATTAACGTCAGGGATCCGTTTTCAGCGCTATTTGCGCAAAGCACAAAAATTGTTGCATCGCTCCTTTAACGTCTACACGTTTGCCAGTTCGGCTCCAGGGCGCCGCCACCTTGCTCGTTGGGGTGCTCTTTGGCCACGGACATAAGCCGATTACGACGTCTTGTTAAGGCGTCATAATCGGATGATGACCATGCCAAGAGGCACACCAGCTGAGCAAGATAGCGGAGCCCCGAGGTCGCACTTGCAAATGTGTAAACATGCAGTGAAAGAAAGGTTATTCTCTTGTCAAAGTCTTAGTTCAAAGGGGGATGACTTGATTGTGCGATGGGGACCGGAACAATTATGCCTAGAGGTATAAACGTTTTTTGTGTACTCTTGTCCCCAGCCACCTAATAGGCGTATCCGGTATGGGCGACGAAAAAATACTAAAACGTTTCAACCTGTAACTAAGAAAAAAAAAATAAGGGGGAGGCAGAACGATAATGTGTTACGATTACACTTATATTCTAAATGTCTTCTACTGGCGTGGCGACGGTTAAACAATGTTTTCGCCCATACTGGAAGTGACGACAATTCAAGATGGCGGCGCCCTCCCAAACAGGTATTAAGAGTTGATAGCTAGTAAGTAGATGTTATTTATACTCACGGATGTAGGCAGAAAGCGCTGAAAGCAAAAATCATTGGACAAAGTTATGACGGCATAAAATCCTGTGGTTTCATTTATCTGTGCCCTAGTTTCACAACAACGGTTTCGTTGACCGCCAACCTTAGGGTCTGCGAGAAAATATTCTAAGCCTATCTAAACATATGTAGGATTTACAGTTACAGTACATACATAACACGGCGTTTGCAATATCTATTCCCCGGTGCTACGGCCACGTCACGCGTTTATGCGGTTGTGCGTGGATTGCCACAGCCGTGATTGCATAACCATCACTTTTATCTATTCGTTTACCTTCGTTCCATAACTATGGTCTCACATCCCGGTAATTTTGTCACCGACGCAAACTTTCTGGGAGTTTGACATCGCCAAGCTTCGATCGGGTCTATTAGTATCTTACACGGCGGCTTATAGAAGGACAATCGTAATATCCTTAGTGGTACCCGCGCCCCTATCCAAGGAAACAGAATTAAACGTTGACAATGTGCAACTGTCCAGCGAAGGTCCTGCCAATGTATCCTGTCTTCTGTATTCTTCTAGAGTTTCCTCACGTTGTTCACTGACTTTAACCGTGTACTACTAGCCCTGCTCACCACCCTTCTCAAGGTCTCTCCCCAGACAGTTTTTGTACGACAAATGAGGCAGGCCCATCACACAAGGGGAAAAAAGCGTATCGGATATTGTCTGCGGACTGTCTTCGGCTTACCAGAGGTTATATTTACACTTTCGTGGTGGGCCCTCTAGAGCAATGGAAGCATCCACGGTCAGGAATGCAGCGGGAAAGGCGGACATTTTCCTCAGCAAGGACGTGCACAGTTTAATGTCCTCAACGGTACTTACCCACGAGACCAAGGATACACACGGAGGCCTTAGCCATCTTTGGGAGATCAGAGACCTGATGCACCGTCCCCGAAGAAGACTGGGGGTCTGAGTTCCGCTGACCCTGGGCTGTCTTTAAATGACGATAGCTGCCCCGTCTGGGGCACTTTCTTCCAATCACGACGACCTCGTTAAACAATTAGAAGACGCCGGGGGAAATTTACGAGATCTGCCTGAGGGCCGATTGCAGCGGTCGGACTTCTTTTTTTTTTTTTTTTTATGGTCATGCGGCCGCCAGGTATAGTTCGACGTGCCACTTGCTCCTATATCGAGTGACAGCAACTGAGTTATGGCAGCTCTTGGCTGGAAGGCATGGACTGGAGTCACGTAGAAGCCATACTCGGCTCTCCCGGTCGTGTAGAGTAGAAAGCTGCTGGGATGGGCCAAGCCGTAAACCCGCGGGCAATGATATCCACAAGGTACACATCTGTGGCACCGTCCGTATCTCATATCTTGACGGCTAGCAATGGATATACACAAGTAAAAAAGAAAATAATAAACGAGCTAATATGGGCCGCGAGCAGTGCCGAGCTTCTGGTTTCATGTTTGAATCTCCCGAGAAAGGAAATCGTGAGAATTGACCACAATTTTGCTCTATCCATATTCGCATATATTCTGTTCCGCAGGCTGGAGTGTCAATGCAACGCAGCGAATTATACTGCAACCTGCTCAATGTCGCACATAAAGAGGTTAGGTTAGGAATGCACGTCGGACATGTCTAATCGTTCATTCCTTCCAATGAAGCTATTTGTTCTTGTCAGAAAGCAACTGGGAGCTACCTCTGACTATGCGCTGCAAACAACGACAAACAATATGGCGCCGTGGCAGACCGACTGCACGCTCTCTAAATATATCACGTCTAATGTGATTTTGCTTGGACGTTCTGTGGTTTGACTTTATCTGGATGAGCAGCTTTTTGTGTTCATGCAATCATTCCTGCTCAATGTAAGGTTAGGCGGTCGTGCTGCCTAACCTTAGACAAGAGCAATCGACGCGCCAAAGACTGGTACAAAGTTAAAGAACTGCACGCAGGACAAGCGGTTGTTCCGTGTACACTTCTTTTACTGTCCTCTTTTTTTCTTTTTGTGCGCTGTCTGTTTTTGTGTTGCCATTTTAAGATCGGTTATTTGCATTCTGTTTAAATTTCCGAATCGGTTTCCTAACGTAATGAAAGGTGTACATTTTTTTTTCACGCCATCACGGTTGGTTATTATTTATTTAGAAATCGTATTTGGCGACACTCCTACACGCTGTAGATGAGGCATTTAGGCAGTACGGCACGACTGCTAACCTGGGCTCTTACGTCACACAGTACGTACACAACCGCACGCCGGTACGATGCTCATTCAGATCGGAACGGGAGTTTTAACAAGTCGTTTCCACACGAACGGTTCGCCCTCGAACGCATCGGCGACGCCACTGCGCATGCGCGCGCGAGTTGTTCGGGGCGTTGGGAGGCTCTTCTCGTTCATTTCTCCCATTCCGGCCGCTGCAGTGCAGCCGTCACCGGAACGCAGCCAGCACCGTTCACGACCTAAGTAAAAAAAAAGAAAAAAAAAAAAAAAAAAAGATAGCGGTCGGTTAGGTGCAACGTTACTAAAACACTCAGTTGGGAAACTCACCGTCGAAACCTGGACCGCTGGCGTCCACCCAGACCGAGTTAAATGCGACAACAGCGCCACTCTTTTTCGTTTGTCTGTGTACTATGGTCACCTTGAGCTTTTTGAAAGCCTATTTTTGCGTAAAAACAAACGGAAAAGACTCTTTTTGTATGAAATTTATTGGCGTTTAGTACCAAATGATGGGCGCGTGATGTTTTTATCATCTTTAGTTCGCAAGGTTTTGCGGAACAATTAATATTGTTTTTATACAACCATGCCTCAGCGGGCCTTCCAGGTAGCGCGTCCAGGCGTAGGTGCATTTTAATTTCGGATGTTGAACGCGACGCGTCCGCCGGGGAGACGGGGGTGACACCCCTCTAGTCGCGGGCCAGGGGTAACCTGGTCCGTCGTACGTGTCTTTGCGTTGAGAGATGCGTCGTCATGGCTGCTGCGTCAGCGCCGCACTCCCCCCCGCCGAAGGCTCGCGCCTTCGGCGTTGTCGTGCCCTTGGGCACCTCGCCGGACGACCTCATCCATGCTGTCGCCGGCGTTGTCGGACTTCCTGAAGTCTACTCAGCGCATCACCTTGGTGCGCAAAGTTTTGAAATCGTTATCAACAGCCATCTCGCTGCCGCCAAGCTCACCGAAGCTGGCGTCATCACCATCGCCTCTACCCAAGTCCCCATCGTTCCAGCCGGACCGCAGGTGACGAACGTCACTTGCATGTTCCTGCCCACCTATGTCCGCAACGACCTGCTGGTTCAAGCCCTGTCCGCTCACGGGAAGGTCCTGGAAATCACGCATGCAACGTACCGCAGCACACCAACAGTAAAGACCGGGACAAGATATGTGAGAATCGAGATGAAGGAGTCGGACCCGGTCCCTAACTTCCTTCGTATCGGAGGCCACCGGGCAACCTTCGACTACCCGGGCATCAAGCGGGTATGCCGGCGGTGCCGACTGGAAGGACACATTCGCGCCAACTGCACGACAGAGCGCTGCGACCGGTGCGCTGTTTTCGGACACGCTACGGAAGGTTGCACGTCTGATTGTCGGCGATGCGGCGGCTCCCACGCAACTATGGACTGCGTGGTGCGGCGGAGCTACTCAGCTATGGTCGCTGGGACAGCCTCGTCTGATTTTCCTCCGCTGTCCCCAGCACATGAGGTGTCTCCCCCTCGCCCAGCCGCCCAGACAGGAGCGCACACAGCCCTAACCAAGCCCCAAGCCAACGTCGACCCGAAAAACT